GGGAAAACACTATTTTTTGTTTCTCCGAAGTTGATCATGTTTACGAGGGCAAGGTCCGAGTTAAATATGATTAATCGAGGAGAAACACAGAATCGTGTTAACCTTCCACAAAGGCAATTAATATTTCATGATGACGAAATAAAACAGTAACACAAAAGTAATGATGATCAGGTAATGAGGCGCCAATGCTGTCGTCTGCTTCAGTCTTTCGGAACTACGTTGTGATGGCTCTTCAAGATAGGCTCCGAATAAGGGAAACATGACCGAGGAAACTCGAGTGCATGAGGCCGATACGATGTCTTATTTCTCCATCATGTGATTAATACAAACCAATCAGACAATTTGGTTTCTGTGACGTATACCAAAAAATATTGATAGTCTTGACTTTCCGGTTTTTTGAGACATCTATACCAAATTAATTTCAACATTAAAGACACTCTTGTTTCTGAGACGTAAACCCCAAAACATCGCTTGTCTAGACGCTAGAGAACATGGTATGTATGCCACATAGTCGTAATAATGTTGACACTCTGGTCAGTGTGGCGTTTATCCCGACAGAATCACAATATAGTTCGTTCGCCTGTTCGTTTAAGCGGAACAACCGGTTAGTTTGTTTTAAAATGTAATATTTTCGGGGATAAATCCTTGCAGACCTGCCAATGTTTATGTAGGCCTTGCAAGGCTTTGTCCAGGCTCGCCTGAAAGCAGCATTAGATTACTAGGTCTGACCTTATTTCATAAACGAACAACTTTGTCCAACCGTTTGGATCGCGATAAACGAAAGCGGCCTTGGTCTCTGTCGCGACCACCACAAAATCTCAATAATTTGTTAATCATTACTAATTTTGACACATTTTTCGTATAATTAGGAAATGACGCAATCAAACGAGATTTACTGGTTAAGAGTAATTTCCCTTGTCAGGTTTTTGCGGAACAACCGGTTTCCCTGTTTTTAAAAAGAACATTTTCGGATATAAATCCTGGCGGACCTGCAAATGTTTAAGCAGACCTTGCAAGGCTTTGTGAAGGCTCGCCTGAATGCAACATCAGATTGCAAGGTCCTACCTTATTTCATAAACGAACAACTCGGGTCCAACCGTTTGGATTGCGATAAACGAAAGCGGCCTAGATCTCACTTCCAGACTGGAACATACGTCACACACCTGATGTAGTTATATTCATAATGGTGGCAAAAACGGGCGATTTAAGGTAGGTTTATGAGTATTACACTAATTGCTAATACCTTAATTTTGAAGAAAAAACTGATGTCGTTAACACATAATAATAAGTGATGTTGTTAAAAGTACTGTATTTAGATACACATCAAGGTGATGTTTAAGAAATAATCAACATATGTGCGTGCATTATGGTGGAATATATAACGAGGGTGAGAAAATGTTGGTACAAATAATTAACGAAGACCGCTCAATAATGCAATCTTTTTAACCAATGAAAACCGTCGTTACATCACAGACGTGGTAGAATATACAATAAATTACATACAATGTAGTTGGGTATTGCCTCCCTAGTAATGAAAAAAAGATAATCTGACCTGAACCTTCACGAAAGAATGAGAAACGCTGTTACATGACAGCAGAGGATGTAGAAATGTTGACATCTATTCATTCTAATCTATTGGTAAAAAAACCAATACAAATTAACTACGTATTCAAACAAATCGGACATCAAGCAAATCACCATGATGACATTTGAATGCTATCTTTGACATTTGAATGTCTCTTTGATAATTGCAAATTTAACTTTTTTAGCGACCGGTCGGATGTGGGACGTTCCCGTCGTATTAGGCCTATCGCCGTCTCCCTGTTCATAGGCACTTGACGCTTTGTTATGTCAGATTAAAAAAATATATATATAAGTATACATTTTTTTTTTCAAAATTATTATCTGAGAATTATCTGAATAAATGAAAAGGTAAATAACTACAGGGATGCAAATTTTGACAGAAATTGACCAAGTCCGTTAAAATCAACATATCTAAAACAATACGAAAGCCATTTTCGATAACGAACGTCCAACTTACAGAAAACATTCCCAGCTTTCCATTGATACATAGTTGAAGGATATACTCCAATTATTAAGATCACGGCGTGCTTCCACACTCCGAATTTCACCGGATATTTGTAGGTAGGACACTTACCTGATACCGGTAAACACCACAAAAAATCTTTTTTAATTCAGATAATTCTAAGATAATAATTTTGAGGAAAAAAAATGTATACTTATATAAAAAAAAAAAAAAAAAAACAACTGACATAACAAAGCGTCAAGTGCCTATGCCCTGTTTTACGCCTTGTCCGAGTTTTGCAGACAATTTTCAATATTCCGAACATTTCTTTCTACAGCTGCGCCGTTTTCGTTTAACACGATCCAAATGGTTGGACCGGTTTGAGCAGAGTTTTTCATTCACAGAGGCATAGCTGGGATATAAATCTTTTGTAGGCACTTGAACAATTGACTGATTTTTTTTTGATTTTTGATTTTTTAGTTTAACGCCAACGGTTTAAAAGTTTAAAAACAATCAATTGATAAGTATACCGGTGAGTTTTATAATTAAATATACAAATGATACGAATCCGATAACCCCTGCATGGCGATTTTAGCAGGAGTTTTCAACTAGTTCTCACTGACAATATCTTGTAAAATCAATTAAAAAGTAATTATAAACACCAATTGTTATCCAAAAAATAAAAATAAAAATTCAACTTTTTACTGAAGGGAGGGTATCGAAGAGTCAACAAAATTAGTTGCGTGAACTCAAGATCGATAAAATGAGGGGGAAATATGAACAAAGACATGGAGACCGTTGAAAAATACAAGTATAATAAGACCAGGTGGTCCGGAAGAGTAAGCGTCTTCTGCGTCATCGATTGCACACGGCATTAAAATCAAGGTAAACTCCAAGTTATGTTACGTCCTCATCGTGAGAATTTGGGAAGTGTCAACAAAACCACTATAATGAAAATAAAAAATAAAAAAACATCGGCCTTCATATCGCACAAAGAAATAGCTTATATCCCTACTACAGGTAAATTATGATGCCGACCATCAAACTTGCCAATAGACTTCATTAACCTGCACCTTCGGAAACACTGCGCTGTGAGTGTGTCGGTCAACAGTCGTAATCTGTGAAATCAACTACAAATGGGGACGCTGTGATGTTACTTTCAAGAAAGGGAAAATTCATGATCCGAAAATCAATATCGTCCTGCTTATCATACAGCGTACTTGTAAGAGGTTCCTTTTATCATGTTATGAGTAAAGATCGAGGAAGGCAGCTGAGGTTGAAGAGCCCGTAATTTTCTTAACTTCAAGCTCGGGAGGGTACATAAGAACGATGTGGTCAATAATTGTCCTGTTATCTAAAGACAACACGTCGTCGATAGGAATACCTACAGTTTGCTCGCCGATGGAAAGTTTTGCCAACGAACTCATCAAAAATAGTGTCAAATAGGAACTCAATCATTTACTTTGTTGTGTTATTTACAAAATGTGGCCCAAAACAATTTACAATCCCACACTTATATCGCAGTTCGCCACTCTTTTTGAAAAGAAAGCTCTCATAATAAGAGAACGAATGTGTTCCATCCGTTTGGTATGAGGAAAGGTATAGTTTAAAGGGTCGGAAAGTCAAAAGTCATTCCATTGCTTCCACTTACCGCGTAGACAGTCACAATGCGACTGTAACCCTAATGAAATTGTACCAAGAATGGTATAATAAAATGGCATAACGACTTGGTTGAGCAACAAGATGAACACACGATGAAACGTTGTGTATAAGGATTCTTGTAAAATTTCCTAATCAAATACAAACGAGGCAGGTCCGTATCCCTATCATTAATGGGCATTAGGACAGATTGTAATACAGAAGCGTGATTACCTAGTTTTTCGTTTTCGAAAAACTGGAAAGTGGACAGGTAGGGTTACCTTGGTTATCAAGCATGCTTAATTCTATTTTTTGCAAGCTGACAATGTAAAAGTGTGAGCAGACAAAGATTAAACTATCTAATGCTTTGTCTGTTGACACAAATGCATGCCTATCATGCAAATTGTTGAGTGTGATTTGCACATCGGGGTAAGGGCATATAGACTTTGTGTTTTGCTTTCCTTCTGGAATGCAAGCCGCTACTACCGCTTGTCCTTATGGTTCAACTAATAGCTGCTAATTTAGTCAGAGTTATAGACGGACTTAAATCATCATAATTACTTTAGAAACAAAGTACGTACAGGGTAGATGGCTGTCCTCGCATCGTGCAAGGAGAATATCCAAGCCTTCCTCCAACTGATATCCTAGATATGTGGGCAAAGTCAGGTTAGGATGGGGCATGGGATTTAAAGAATGACGCTTTACTTTGAGTAACCTCGGAAGGCGAGACAGTTTCACTGTGAGAGGGATCCTGTTACTGGGTGTCTGAACTTTTGATATTTCGAATTTTCAGAACAACAAATTTGTTTGTCGTTGTGGCATTGCCATTATTTTCAAAATTAACTTGAAAGTTGTATAACACTTTTGTGTATTACAAGATCTTTTTTGACTGAAACCCCCCCCCAACTAAAACCTGATTTTTCGTACTTTGTACTAGACCTATACAAAACATCCTGGATATAGTATAGTCTTTAATTTTAATGAAAACACATATTTGATTTTTCAACTACTTGAATTAACACCGACAAAAAAAAACACTTGACAAAATTATGTGCCTTCTCGACAGCTGCGCTACTGTGTACTTGAAATTATATGAGGAAGTATTGTTCTTTAGAACAAAATGTGATCGTCAAACGTTTTAAAACATGCTTGCTCATTCAAGTGTGTACTCCTCAGATTATCTTATCAACTCAACTTAAAAATTCCTATTCAACAACTATGTATTTTGGCCATACCTTTTAAAGTCTGTTCCGGTTTTTTATGGTGCTGACGTCATGCCTTTGTCAATCTTTACAATAGAGTACAAAAACAACACTAACATGTCAGCTAAACACCGTTTTTTTATTACACAACTAACCGATTTTGGTCGCAAATATATAGATAATTTGTAGGTCTAAACCAGGGAGACATGGGGTTCCCCAAAGGGTTATGTGAATATCCGACTATTCCGTTATTGATTTTGGTAACCGGTTCGTTGTCGTCCGACCGAGTTGACAACTCTAATATATATATTTTATATTATAACAATTCTAATGTCAGCTTATACGTAAGTAAAGTGGGCGACATTAAACAACTTCGTTCTTGTATGTTTTATAAACTTACATCTGTATTACGCATCTCACTATTAAAAAAGAATTGTAATTACGCGTACAAAGGAATCATTAGATTCATACGACGCACTTCACTGCAACTACATGTATAATTAAGGAGTACCTTTTCTCTCTTTTAAACAGCGGGAGACTACACGCGTTTTAATACACTGACTTTTCTGTTCCAATTACTGAAATAATTTGGTACTTTCAGAAAAGATGGATGGTGTATGTTATGAACATTTAGGTCGTATAGCGGAAGTTATTTGGCATGGAAACGTCTATTATTCCCAGCCCATTTATAAACTCAAATCCGCTTCGCTCTTGCCTAAAATCGGTGTTTTTATAAGCAATCCTACCCGTAGCACCACCTAGTGCATAATAAACATGGTGTGGATTTCATACTTAACAACTTTAGTCGATAATAAACGGCACTGCCGAAAAATAGGGCAAGATTCGATAGTCGTTCGCATAGACGGAAAGAGCAAAATATTTTTCGAGGAAATGTTGTGTAGGGGAGGTAACTCCCATTTCTAAAGGAAGATTGTCAAGATGCAACACGGAAACCACACAGCATGTAAGATATAACTTTTCTCAGATGTGGAGAAACATCATATATTTGTAAACTGAAGAGTTTTTCCTGCAGATGTGTACAACATGCATCGATCAGACACATTATAGCTATACACAATACATGTGGTAGGAAACCTGATCATTGTTCCATTCCTGTAACAAAACAATCTTCTCCCTCATGTATTCTCTTTAGTTGTCCCGACATCGCCATTGTTAAATGCAATGCTCCAATTATTCTAGTTCTTATTTTCGGTTTCAATATCGCCTTTGATATTTCATGCTGGAAGTAATGAACTGGCCGGTTGGCGCAGTAAATAACGCTTTCGCCTTTCACAAGGCAGCCGGGGTTCGATTCACCGATTGGACGTGAAAAGGTATGGGGTCGTCTGCCCGACCACGTGGGGTTTCACCTGGTCCTCTGGTTTCATCCCACACTAAGACCCCCTGCCACTAACATTCGGCCAACAAGAGTGAGTAATATAAGTTGAAAAAATAATTGTTTTATAATTGTTGTTAAATAAATAAAGTTGATATTCTTAAGTATGATTTTCAGTGTTTTCTTAAGTTGAAGTACCTTTGAGTTCAATATTTTTTGAAGAAAGTACATGCTCGTGCTTCATGCTTCATGCTCCTTGTTAGAATCATCAACTTCTCCGTTTCCTTTTGGAAGTATCCACTTAAATTTACCAGTGTGGTATATGGACGTTGATTCTGCATCAGATCTGTTGATCAACTATTTAACATGATGTCACTTTAAAGCACAGATATACCCCGAGCCCGAGGTTGGCGTTTTCTGTCTTCCTGGAAATAGAATAAACAATTACATGGTAATTAATGATAGATGCCTTCAAAATATAAACATAATGATTGTGTGAGACACAGAGCCGATATTTTTGTTAAGAAGGAGGAGGTGGGGTGAGGGTGAGGGGTGGGGGTAATGGGGTGTCGATTAAAGCACAAATGAAACAGAGGTGGCATGGGGAGTAATGTTTGCAAATCTCTCCTAGTAAACGTAATGCTATCATTAATTTTTGTAGCAGGTGTTATGTAATTTTCTTGCAATTGTCATGTTTGTGTTTTAAAATAACAGTTTGGACGAGATTTAAAAAAATAGAAACTCACGATGGCTTTGGTCAATCTGATCTCCTTAATGATGAGATCCTCTAACTGCTGCAGACTGTTGTTCTCCTGTTGTAACTACAGAGAGTGTTAATTATTTTACCGACGATTAGGACAGGCATTGTAACATATTAACTATCAGGACAGACATTGTAACAAACCAACGATCAGGACAGACATTGTAACATATCAACTTTCAAGACAGACATTGCAACATATCAACGATCAGGACAGACATTGTAACATATCAACTTTCAGGACAGACATTGCAACATATCAACGATCAGGACAGACATTGGAACAAACCAACGATCAGGACAGACATTGTAATAAACCAACGATCAGGACAGACATAGTAACAAACCAACGATCAGGACAGACATAGCAACATATCAACGATCAGGACAGACATTGTAATAAACCAACGATCAGGACAGACATTGCACCATATCAACTATCAGGACAGACATTGTAACATATCAACGTTCAGGACAGACATTGCAACATATCAAAGATCAGGACAGACATTGTAACAAAGCAACGATCAGGACGGACATTGTAACATATCAACTATCAGGACAGACATTGTAACATACCAACGATCAGGACAGACATTGCAACAGATCAACTATCATGACAGACATTGTAACAAACCAACTATCAGGACAGACATTGCAACATATCAACTATCAGGACAGACATTGTAACAAACTAACGATCAGGACAGACATTGTAAGAAACCAACGATCAGGACGGACATTGGAACAAACCAACGATCAGGACAGACACTGTAACAAACCAACGATCAGGACGGACCTTGTAACATATCAACTATCAGGACAGACATTGTAACATACCAACGATCAGGACAGACATTGCAACAGATCAACTATCATGACAGACATTGTAACAAACCAACAATCAGGAAGGACATTGTAACAAACCAACGATCAGAGCAGACAGTGAACCGTTGCACAGACATTGTAACAAACCAACGACCAGGACAGACATTGCAACAAACCAACGATCAGGGCAGACATTGTAACAAACCAACGATCAGGAAAGACATTGTAACAAACCAACGATCTGGACAGACATTGTAACAAACTAACGATCAGGACAGACATTGTAAAAAACCAACGATCAGGACAGACATAGTAACAAACCAACGATCAGGACAGCCATTGTAACAAACCAACGATCAGAACAGACATTGTAACAAACCAACGAGCAGGACGGACATTGTTACAAACCAACGATCAGGACAGACATTGGAACAAACCAACGATCAGGACAGACACTGTAACAAACCAACGATCAGGACGGAAATTGTAACAAACCAACGATCAGGGCAGACAGTGAACCGTTTCACAGACATTGTAACAAACCAACGTTCAGGACAGACATTGTAACATATCAACTTTCAAGACAGTCATTGCAACATATCAACTATCAGGACAGACATTGTAACAAACTAACGATCAGGACAGACATTGTAAACACCCAACGATCAGGACAGACATTGTAACAATCCAACGATCAGGACAGACATTGTAAGAAACCAACGATCAGGACGGACATTGTTACAAACCAACGATCAGGACAGACATTGCACCATATCAACTATCAGGACAGACATTGTAACAAACCAACGATCAGGGCAGACAGTGAACCGTTTCACAGACATCGTAACAAACCCATGCAGTGTCAGCACAGATATTGGGGATAGCATGTTTACCCAGTGTTGTAATTGGCGAGAGAATCAGCTCTCTTGCCATTCTTGTGACGATTATATGATTGTTCCTCACATATTGAATAATTGTTTCGATTCCAATAACATTAAAGACAAAATGTCATGATATGCCTGATATGAAAACCTCATTCCATACAATTAATTTGTCAAAAACTTTCAAATATCTACGTAAAACTTGCCTATCCCATAAAATTTGAAGTAAAAACAAAACTTGTTATAGTACATAATAGCTGAACGTTTCGCTATGTACTTATGCATGCACAGTTTCTAACCTTTTAATATGCAGTTTTCCTTTTTGGTGTATAAGGTTTTTAAGTGTTCCTTGTTATTTTTGCCAGGCCTGAAAATTCTTTACCATTTCTGGAAAATGGTAAGCAACAGAAGAACAATGCTCCCTATATATACGCCAGGATAGGTCTGAACAACCAATCCGTACAATTGTTCTAAGTAAGGTCCCTGTGAACTGCTGGGGCTCATATATAGACGTCAGACCAAAATCAAGGCGTAATCTCCACATGCCCATATATTTATGTATCTGATATTAATGAGAAAATTAGACACACGAACCTGAGTGATTTGCTTATTAATTTCCTGTCGTCGCTCTCTAATGGATTTCACTTGATCTGTCAGCTTCATCATCTTCTTGTAACACATCGGATCTGAAAATAAAGACATCAACAGTAGGAATTTAATGAGAGCGAAATATTTTTTGTTTTTTAACCTTTATAAATACTTTTATTCCTTTATTTCTTTACCGATGTTTTTGTGGATAATATATTTGCATGTTGATAACATATATATGACTTTGAACAAAAAATCCTGCATGCTTGCTGTGGAATAACAATACCATCAAACATGCTAAACTAGACACTTTAAGACTCGTAAACGTCTATGTACTGAACAAACCTTTACACAACTGATCAGACATTTTCGTAGACGACTTGAATGTCTCGTGCTGATAATACGGATGCATTGATGACGCACTTCCGGTTGAACTTTTGCGCCGCAATTTTGAACTAATAACGGGCTTTGGTTTTACCACTTTTTTCATTGGTCGCTGGATCTGCGGTTTCGATCCTCGTCTTTCAGATACGGATGGTCGTACCGTTCTACACGGACACAGGTCAATCAGCTGTAAATTGTTGTTGGCATCCGTTGCTAGGGTCGTCCTCTGTTGCTGGACATGTGGTGAACGAGTGCGTTCAAGCAGTGACGTCAGATGAAGAGATGACGAAATGCGATTGATGAGCTCCTGGGTCGTTAATTGTGAAGGAGGCTCGTCTGTGAACACGACAAACAACATTCAAATGTCAGTTTATATTGGAAACGAGTGTGTAGAACTGACTCTGTGCAGATATTCATTGTATATTAAAAACTTCCAAATATCGTATATGTTGTATCTTAATATCTGTGCTAATACTATATTTCAAGTAATGTACATAATGTATTGAAGGTATAAAAAATATGCATAGGAAGTAGGATTGCCGCAATATATCGTAAAACCTTTATATCGCAATACAAAGGTATATATTTATTGTATCGCAATACGGAGATGAAATATTGCTGTATCGCAATATTTGTCAAAATCTTATTTTTATGTATCTGCTTGATGTTTTATTCCTACACATTCTAACAGTGATGCCAATGACCATTAAACTGGTTATAAATAGTGGTGGGAATTAGTTTGAATTTCGTAATCGATGGTTGGTTGACAAAAATTCTTAAATGTGTGTGATCCATAATACATAGGATTAATTACTTCTTCCTAAATTTGGCACTCTTACGAATGTTAATATATCGGGATACGTATCGCAATATATTAATTCGGTATTGCAATATATCGTGATACACACTAGGAGTATTGTGACAGCCATTATAGTTTGGTTTGGTTTAGTATTGTTTAACGACCCATCAACAGCTATGGTCATTTAAGGACGGCCTTAGGACGCATGCGTGTAACACGTGTATGCGTGTGTGTGTTTGGGAGACTGCGATATGTTCGTGTTTGTCTCCTTGTGATAGAGCTGAACTGATGCCGACTTCAAAGTGCTTCCCCACTGAAACACACTGCCGAAGACACCCAGCAGTACACCCCACCCGGTCACATTATACTGACAAAGGGCAAACCAGTCGTCCCAATCCTAAATTGCTGAGCGTTAAGCAGGATTAGAAACTACCATGTTTATAGACTCTGGTATGTCTCGGCTAGGGGACAGAACCCAAAGCCGCGAATACAGGGGCGAACGCTAAACTGAAAGCCTAAAATGAGGCATTGTCAAGGGAGACATTAGGAAGAAGAAGGTTGTTTAGAAAGAAGAGAATTTAGTCGCCTCTTACGATCATGCAATGGGGGCAGAAGGGACAATTCTTACGCCCTACCTGAGGGGACAGACAGCCCTAATGGAAAGAGAGGAAAGGTGAATAAAAGATACATTGTATCTATCTGCGTCTCCTTACACATGAGATTACCATATATTCGTATGTGTTATATACACTGTATCTCATAACGTGTGTGATCACAGCTGCCACTTTTGTATACAATATCCCACTTAACATTTCAACATGGTTTTCACAGTATTTTTGTTCCAAATATAAATTTTGTTTATGCCTCTTCGACTTTTAATATTTTTACACAATGATATTAACTCATACATTTAAAATCTGCTGTCTATCTTTTCTGAGCCTTTGTGGTAATTAACCTATCTATAAAGTGAAGTTAACTCGATATATCGAGCGGACACCGTGCTTGGTTTTTTTTGAACTTTTCTTAACTTAAATATAAATACCTTCTTTGTTTAAATCCTTCCGTTTCATCAGAGTACCACGTTCTCTCCTTTGTTCTCGTTGCCTGCACAGACCGCTCTGTACTTCCGGGCTTGTGGTTGGGGTAGTCCTAGACACAGCCGCCGCCCGTGTCCCGGGTCTGGTAGTCCCTTGTACTGTACGTCTGGAAAGACAGCTGGTAGACTTTGACATCGTGTTGCCATATTTTGGAGTTGACATTGTTTTACCTGGGCGATAACTCTGTGTCAGATATTTACTTGTGCTTCTCGAAATTGGATTTGCTTGACTTTGGGATTGCCGTTTGTCCCCAAAACTACTCCGCTGTGATGTTTTCCGGAAGACGTCCTTCCATAATATTGGACTGGTGATCGACGATGTCACGGAGGTGGGCGTGGTCTGGGTATGTACGTCCTGATAATGTAGAATAAGGAAAACAAGAAAAGTACCGTAGCTATCAGAATGGGATACTGCATCTTTAAATGGATTTGCTGGCGATACAGAATTGCAAACGAGAATATCAACGCTACTGACACCATACTAAATGCATAAAACATAAATACACAATGAAGCATAATCCGACGGACAGATGGACATACGGACGGCATGCTTCTATTGAACTGAATGTAGACGATGTGTTTAACTTTCAGATATTACTTCGTATTTGACCTCTATCCAAGGACATTGAACTCTTACTTTAGCTTTGTGTATGGCCGCGCGTTTTGTGCTTTGTAGCATAGCCGACCTCGCCAGGAACTCCACGTCATCCTGGAGAGAGCGAAGGACTTCCCTGCATATACAAACAAAATGTTGTACGTTAAGGTCAAGAGTACCACTTCACAAGTTAAAATTTCGAAGAAGAGTTCCACTAAGGGAAATTATTTTGTTTTACTCGTGATATTATCACGAAGATTTACTTGTTCAGAATTATTACTTTAAATGACCAGGTATTCGTTTTTCATTTTGATACTAAGGATAAAGTTCCTTGTAGCAGCATAATATCCATTACGTGCATGGGATATATATAGAGTATATCTATAGGAAATGATTTAACGATTTATTTTAATAGAACCGTTTTTATAACATATAATTTAATTTGATGGTACCTTTTTTACACATAGCGATGATTGGACCTGACAATAAATAAGAATATCAGCAATCATTAATGACATTGTCCTTTATCAAAATATTGTTCGCGGGGCATGGTGCAATTCGGAAGGTTTAAGCGTCATACCTCATCGGACCAGATAAGCCATCCAATGAATTTGTCTGGTCGAGATTTCCTACAAAACAAAATCGGTTGTCATAATTTTATCTTACCAACGGCTAATGCAAAATACGTGTTATTTTCAAACTGTGTTTCAATGAGATAGCATTATAAAGTCGGCATCAGATTCGCGTATCACAAGGAGGCAAATACACCAACAAACCCTGTCTCCAGCATGCATACACAATTGCACGCTTACACAACACACACGGAGGAACGTTCTTGACCTTAGATGTTTATAGGACGTTAAACAAAATAAAACCAAACCAAACATACCAAACCTACATTTTGAGGTTGTATTCCTAGAAATTTGGTTAATGAAAGGCTTATTTGTATTATTCCATAAACAATTAAATTATGCTTCATAGGAGTCCGCTAATTAGTTTCCTTCGGAGAAGCTCAACTTTCCCCCCAACTTATAACAATTTTATAAATTTGTATTTATTACGTATAGAACTGAATCGATTGTATAAGTTCTCCGCCATTGCAAAATGTGCAATTTGGTTTGGTTGCACAATTGAATTGAATTGGCACTAAAATTGAGACATGTATCAATAGTACATTCAGTGATGAAATACAACGTAGTTTGTCGCGTGGTATAATCGCATTGTGATCAAAGGCTTATAGTAAATAATATAATCGATGTATAGGAGAACTTGTAGCGATGTCATCGCCGATACTCAAGATATCAAATCGATCTTTTTTATTTTCATTACTTTTTTAACTCACTAAATTGTTCAACTGAGACTATTCTCATCTGAATAAGCTGTATCAAAAGAAACATTCTAATAAAAAAAAATGGTTTCCAACAGATTTTAATGTACAATCCCGAGGCTAATAAAACAGACATCAAGAATGTCTCGACCAATAAGATTGTAGTTATTTTATGAAATTAATCAACAATGAATAGTTTTATTGCGATGCTATACACTCTAAAAGTTTTGAAATCCTAAATACCATCGTCCCCTGTTGATCAGTAAGACAAACGTACCGTCTGTTATCTCCTCGTTTGTCTGTTCCGGAAGCATGATGCTACTGAAGATTTCCAGCAGATCCGCAATCATTCTCCTGTTTCCGGAAACAATTCCTGTGCCAGCCATGTGGTCCATCGGAATGCCGAAAATGTCGTCTGCCAACGAGTCGATGATAAATTGAACGAATTTGGCGCCATCTCGCTTAGAATTGATAACTGCCGAGCCTGAACAGACAGAGGTTATGACAATTGTAATAACGTATGAAAATGTGTAGGTACACATGTACCCATCAGGCAGTTCCTTTCCATAGCTACGATGGGCGAGATGATTTCTTTAATGAACTAAAAACAAGAGGTCCATATAGGATTTAACGATCACCCGAGTTGCACTAAAGTAATGTATTGTGGTTGAAACATACCAACGATTTCTCAGGGCCGTCAGTTGATCATCAATAACAATTTTTAGTTTTGTCAGCCCATTAGAAGTCGGGTTTCAAGTATCAAACTCTACCCAGAGTTGTCTGTCCTTGTGTAAATGAGTGAGTGTAAAGAACGACAACTCTGGGTAGAGATTGTTAAGTATGACATATATTTGATAATGACGGCAGTGACGGCCATATTCGATTTTTAATTGACCCCAAAAATCACATCCAATGGTACTACCACCAGTAGATCATCCCTACCAATTTGCTTTTTTTTTTATCAGTTAGAACTTAAGTGGTAAATTACGATCAAATTTAATTTCTAGTCGGCCTAAAAAAAAAGCAATTTCTCAGAAATCAATGAAATTTTCTTCAGGAGTATTTCAGTTTAAGTTGAAAAGTAAAATGTTAACGGACGACAGACAGAGCAACTTAAGGATCTGTCTTGAAACAGTTCTCACTGATCTTACTGAATAGAAATAACGGCCGTCCATGAAATGATGATATTCAAATTCATTTCAACATTGATAAATATTCGGATTGTTTCTGAATATATTTCAATTAATAGGGGCCTAACACACATTCAAGAACTCTGACTACTTGACTAAATGCTTTTGTTCACAGTTCAGGAAAATTGATTCAATGTTTTTTCCGCATTTAAATAAAAAAAATATGCGGAAAAGCATAAATCGCTACCGTTATGTATCTTCATACCTAAGTTTTATTTCCAAAACAAGCACATACATTAAAGATATTTCAACCGGAATCCTATCATTACCGCTTAACGACACGATTTTATCCACAATATTTGTCCGTCTACATCGAAGAGGGTCAAGCTGCACGTGCTGACCCGGAAGTGACAATTACAGTTATGTTTTGTAATCCTGTGCAGCTGACAGTTTTGTACTGTTGTATTGGTAAATAAATTTGATTCATGGAAGAATAGTTTGATCATTTATACATAAATCAAAGTTTAATAATTATGATATTCTTATTTTGTCCAGTAGACAACAATATAAGCGGACTGATATTGCCACGGTCATGCTTAATTGTATGTCTTTGACCAGTCCTGCTCAAGTCCGGAAACCTCCACGTGTCAATACATGCTAAATTATGAGAGAGCAAAAAAATCCTGTCTTTGGGGATAGGGAAAAACAAAATTGTGTTAAAAATTTCACCTTTAGAAAGCCTCGAACCAGCGAATGAAGAGTCCTGTTATAATTTTTTTTTCTGTTTAACAAGAAATTGGACAAATATGGTAAGGATCAATTTCATCTATACACATGACCGATACATTATTATACATATACCGTTATGACAGAATTAAAATTACAGCGATCTATATATACTGGTGATTGGACAAACTATCTGTAGTCAATTGTGAATAGCATATTAATTTGTATACAGAAACAGAACATTGTACATATGCAGCTGCAATATTAGGATACAGTATGCTGTTTAGTACCTGGTACGATTTGGTCCGTCACGTGATGATACAGGAGAACGAAGTGCTCGGCGCTGATGTCCTCTACGTCCTTCACGGGTGTACACCGTGGTCCCAGCAGGTCCAACAAGCTGTTAGCGCGACAAACAATATCTGTAAATATATATATAACCCAGTCCCTCAGTAACACATAACATGTTATAATTGACAACACGGACGTGGTAATACACGTAGCGTTACATACCGTCATCAATATCGTGGTCAGCATGTTCCCGCGCCATGACAGTCGTGTATGTTAGGGTAATGTACCCGTGCGGAACGTGACCCTGAGCAATATAATTTCTTGTATTTTAGAAGCGGATATCGGCTTGGAACCCAAGCAGCCCAAAAACATCAGAGATAATCGTACGTAATTAAAAATGATTAATTATGACGTTGGTTTTTATAAACTACATTATTAATTCAATAATTATATTAGTTTTAATTATTCATCAAGCTTAGTAATTAATTAAATCTATTCTCTTCCGATGGGTGTAAATACACAATATCATGTTATGCTATTTTAACTGGTTTTAAGAACATTTCGATTTCTAGAGGTGACAGCTGATCTGTTCAGGCCGTTGTACCAAACAATACAAAAAAGAAAGAACCTATGAAAACCAGTTAATCAATAACCACCCCGTTAATTTAAACGTTAACACACAACATATGTACAAATTTATATCACAACATTTGTAAACACATGTTGTGTTACTTACCGTCATCAACATCAATCTCAGCATGTTCCCGCGCCATTATCAATCTTTGGGATCGTCGTGTGTGAATTCTTATTCCACCGAGCAAGGCAGGTTAAGATGGAATGTTTGGTTTGGTATGGTTTAGAATTGTTTAGCGTCCTATCAACAGCTATGGTCATTTAAGGACGGCCATCCCTGTGTGCAAGGTGCATGCGTGTAGCTTATGCGTGTGTGTTTTGGGAGGCTGCGATATGTTCGTGGTTGTCTCCTTGTGATAGCGCGGAACTGATGTCGACTTTATAGTGCTACCTCACTGATACATACTGTCGAAAACACCTGGGGTCTGTTCGTTTATGCGGAACCGTTGTGACCGGTTTGTCCATTTTTAAATGTAACAAATTCGGGTATCAATCCTGGCGGACCTGCAAATGTTTATGCAGGCCTTGCAAGACTTTGTCACGGCTCGCCTGAAAGTAGCTTCAGATAAGGTCCGACCTGATTTAATAAACGAACAACTGTGGTCCGACCGGTTCAACCGCTTAAACGAAAACGGCCCTAGTAGGACACCCCACCCGGTCACATTATACTGACAATGGACGAACCAGTCGTCCCACTCCTAAATTGCTGAGAGTTAAGCAGGAGTAGAAACTACCATTTTTACAGACTCTGGTATATCTCGGCCAGGGGACAGAACCCAAAGCCTTCCTCACAGGGGCGAAAGCTAAACTAAAGGCCAAAAGTGAGGCATTGTCAAGGGAGACTTCAGGAAGAATTTTTTTTTTAGAAAGAAGGAAAAGATAAGATCCCAAATTTAGTCGCCCCTTGCGATCATGCAATGGGGGAAGCAGGTACAATTCTTACGCCCTACATGCAGGGACTAAGATAGAATGTCCTGGTATATTCTTCTAAAACACGTCCACTGTGATAGGACGTGGTGTATGTAGCACTGTACAATGTATCTCTGCTGGTTATTGATACGTTTATCATAGTAGGTAGCGTGGCTTTAAATCTAGTCAATATGATATCGGAAAGGGCTTAATGCAGTGAGAACGATTTGCACGTGCGTTGTATATCAAAGTTCACACTAATTACATTTAGATCAGTCACAATTAAATAGACAACCCATGAACAGTATCAATGTAATTGTAAATTTTAATTTGTAATATCATAGATAATGCTATGGCTATTGGTCATGATGTAAAAATTAAAACATAAGAGATATTTCAGCAAAATCAGTTCTGTACAGACGTATTTTAGGGGGAGTAGCTTCCCTTATATCACTTGAATTGAAGGATGCACGTGATGTTCGTAAACATATAATGGCATTTTACACATGTTGTGTGTACGCATGTTATGGCGTGTTACACGTGTTGTGTATACACAGGTTATGGCGTTTTTCACATATTATGTATACATATGTTATGGCGTGTTACATGTACACGTTTTTTGTGAACGCATGTTATGGCGTGTTACAGGTTCTGTGGGTAAACATGTTATGGCGTTTTACACACGTTGCGTGTACACATGTTATTGCGTGTTACACGTGCTGTGTGTGCACATGTGATGGTGTGTTACACGTGATGTTTGTTCACATATAATGGTGTGTTACACGTGTCATGCGAACACATCTTACGGCGTGTTACGTGTTGTGTGTACACATGTTACGGCGTATTAGACTTGCTGTGTACACATTTTATGGCGTGTTCAACGTGTTGTGTGTACACAAGTTATGGCTTGTTTCACGTGCTACGTGTACACATGTTATGGTGTGTTTCACGTGTTGCATGTGTACATGTTATAGCCTGTTTCACGTGTTGAGAGTACGCATGTTTTGGTGCGATACACGTGTTGTGTGTACACATGTTATGGCATGTTTGCATGCTGTGTGTATACATGTAATGACGTGTTGCACGTGCTGTGAGTACACATGTAATGGCATGTTACACGTGCTGTGTGTACACATATTATTGCGTGTTACACGTGCTGTATGTACACATGTGATGGCATATTACACGTGCTGTATGTACACAAATGCTATGGCATGTTACACGTGCTATATGTACACATGTTATTGCGTGTTACACGTGCTGTGTGAACATATGTTAAGGCGTGTTACACGTGCTGTGTGAACATATGTTAAGGCGTGTTACACGTGCTGTATGTACACCTGTTTTTGTGTGTTACACGTTCTGTATGTACACATGTTATGGCATGTTACACGTGCTGTGTGTACACATGTAATGACGTGTTTCACGTGCTGTGGTACACATGTAATGACGTGTTACACGTGCTGTGTGTACACATGTTATTGCGTTTTACACGTGCTGTATGTTCACATGTAATGACGTGTTACACGTGCTTCGAGTACACATGTAATGACGTGTTACACGTGCTGTGTGTACACATGTTATTGCGTGTTACACGTGCGGTATGTACACATGTTATTGCGTGTTACACGTTCTGTATGTACACATGTTATTGCGTGTTACGCGTGCTGTATGGACACATGTTATTGCGTGTTACACGTGCTATATGTACACATGTTATCGCGTGTTACACGCGCTGTATGTACACATGTTATTGCGTGTTACACGTGCTGTATGTACACATGTTATTGCGTGTTACACGTGCTGTGTGAACATATGTTAAGGCGTGTTACACGTGCTGTGCGTACACATGTTTAGGCATGTTACACGTGCTGTATGTACACATGTTAAGGCGTGTCACACGTGCTGTGTGTACACATGTTATTGCGTTTTACACGTGCTGTATGTTCACATGTAATGACGTGTTACACGTGCTTCGAGTACACATGTAATGACGTGTTACACGTGCTGTGTGTACACATGTAATGACGTGTTTCACGTGCTGTGGTACACATGTAATGACGTGTTACACGTGCTGTGTGTACACATGTTATTGCGTGTTACACGTGCTGTGTGTACACATGTATTGGCGTGTCACACGTGTTGGTTTACATTTATTATGGTGTGTTCGCGTGATGTGTGTACATTTATTATGGTGTGTTCGCGTGCTGTGTGGACACATGTATTGGTTGTTTCACGTGCTGTTGGTTCACATGTTATGGCGTGTTATACGTGCTGTGTGTACATATGTAATGACGTGTTACGCGTGCTTTGTGTACTCATGTTATGGCGTATTACACGTGTGGTGAATATGTTCAGAGTTTAAATCCTGATATTGATTGAAAAATTATCGTGAAACAAAATTGTCACATGACTATATGATATTTTAAATTTCAATCGTCTCGTAAAGATCTTTTCTTGCAGGTTCTACAGTTAAAAAGGCATCTATGCTACGTAATAGTCGTTGTGAAAATCGGAAAGATAATAATAAAACAATAAACTTTTCTTCGGCAGTTTAATTGTTAAGGTCAAATACAGAACATATATTCATTTATACTGCGTCCATTTTCTCTCACATCCACACACAATGCGTCCATTATATCAAGCATATATTTCATCAATGCATATTTCAAATATGGTAAAGTGACACAATGAGGATTGAATATCAGAGGAAATGATTTCAACAAATCAGTAAATCGTAGAGATTAAGTACAAGCACGGGATGGTAAACATAAAGATATATATATATATGTTTTATGTTAATAAATTGATCTCACCCTCGATACTCCAAGGTTTACGCCCACTTACGCTGGATAGAGAGCGAAAGTGGGCGTAACCCCATGGAGTATGGAGGACGTAAACAGGAGTACACACGCACAAAAGTAATACAGCGGTTAGAAATTAAATTCTGATCACAAAATCATTTTTTTTATTGATCAGAGCATTACGGTATATATTGTTCAAGAAAACATAATATCGTTATTTTGATATCCTATATCCAAAAGTACAGCATTAAGACATGGGTCGTCTCGTTCAACCAGACGCTTGGTCACTTTTAATTCTCTGTTCGGCGAAGCTTGCGCAGACAACAAGAGTCTGGTTGAACGAGACTACGATAGAGGGAGAGAAACAAGGGATTGTAACCCGGAAATAGTCATATAAAATGATAGAGATTAGTTGTACTATTTGAACAAAATGTATATGAGTAGATAGGTATTTAAGACCATAATGTTATTATCTCCCGTTTCTATAGCTCCGCTAAGACTCTATTTCGTGTTGAGTGACAGCAACATGAACTATAATACGAACGATACCATGCTGGTTCAATACAATCTCAGATTGTTTGGTTTTTGAAAAGCTGGATTAAAAGGCATGGATGATATTAGCCTTTGAACAATTATGGATTATTTGAACAAAAAAGTATATGAGTAGGTAAGGGTTTAAGACCACGTGACCCTTTTACTCACACCCTCTCCCGAAATATCAACACTTTAGGTATGTTTAAAGCAGCACTTGTTATATTTTCTCGAATCACTGAGAAATTATCAAGGCTTAACGTTCATCTGATCATATCAATTTTGCCGAACTGAAATAAAAGTTGTTTAATCGGCTATTGTTTAATATAGCATTGCCAGGCAGTTTAAAAGCACATGATAAGAACGATAACTCCAATTGACTGAACATTACCTGAAAACAACAATCATAGCACTTCCGGGTTCGCCTTTCACACTATTGGTATTTAACTGGTTATTTTAGGTTTTTTTATTAAATAGGTTTGCTTTACGACAGATTCTTTATATCGGTTTTATGAAGATTACGTTATTTATTTAAAAAGGCATCAACCTTTACAATATCACATATTCATATATTCCAAAATACACGATGGACAACAGAGGACTTCGGCAAAACACAATATTTAAAAAAAAATCATCTTAAAAACGGTAACGAACGGCTGAGACAGTTCACCTCCCATTACATAGTCATTTATATTGGAATGTTAAAATAAATATTTACATTAAAAACACAAGTATTCATAGTTCAATATCATATATACATACTAATGTCGACCTAAAATTAAACTACAGTATTTCGAACGTCTGTAGATATGTTGAGATTTGGAACCAATTTCGTAAATCGGGAAAGTAGAAGAAATTTTTCTGTGAATGTACGCGAGCTTCGCAGTTCATTATAATCTAATACTCACAAGCCTCGCTCTGTTTTATTTTCGGGTGACATTGTAACCGTTGATATTTAACGGAGTCAAATGCACACGTAAACACACAAAAGAAATTATTTGTGAATAGTTTTTTATTTTACATATTAAACAAATATCCCCCTTCAGATAGTATGTATTTTACTCAGTATGCAATTGTATTGATGTCGCAAAAAATCTTACTTTTGAATTGAATTAAGAGTAAATTGCTTTGAAAAGTTTTAGATATCTGGTTAGAGATTTTTGTAAAACGTGAAAAACTTGTACCAGTTATTTCCCTTTGCTAACATTTTGTTTGTGTCTCAATTGCACTAAACGAAAATAAGAGGAGGTTTCCGTGGAGCCAGTCGAGTCTCTAGTGCTCAGACATGCGTGGTACAGGGAGCCTTAACGCGGATTTTAACATCTTGTTCATTGAAATATGAAGTTTGTCACAAAAAGGCACCCATACAATCTGAATTATCTCACACGTATATTTCACAGAATAGATAAAAACGAGGCTTTTATGTAGATCAGTCATCAAACTGCACACATTACACTGTACGACACATTTCTCAATACCACTGAGGTTTTCTTAGGGAGAATAACATGGATCCAAACCTGAATAACAGTATCACATACTACACAGTAAGACATACCCCACCGTAGTACATGTTCAAAGATTCTAACAAATGGCAATCCCCTACACCCATCCCCGATGACGGAACTCCTCCCCCATTTCAATAAGTAGAGTGTAGTCACACGACATTGCACATAGCACTATTTATATATATATATATATTGTAGTTCTGCCATACAACGTCGAAAACTGCATGGAATGATGTGTTTTGTATAACTCACTCTTAACTATAATAAATAAAGCACTTGAAAGGCTAGTAGGGAGAGGGGAGGGGCTGGGAAGGTGAGGGGTGCTGGCCAGGTATAGGGGAGGACAGGAGTCAAATAGGGGAGGGATCGGGTAATGGGAGGGGCTGAGTAGGGGAGAGGCGGGGGAGTAGTGGAGGGTAATGGGAGGGGCGGAGTAGGGGAGGGGCGGGCGAGTAGTGGAAGGTAATAGGAGGGGCGGCGTAGGGGAAGGGGAGAGGCCGGGTAGTGGAGTGGGGTAACATAGGGGAGCGACGGCAGTGGACGAGATGAAGCAGGCTATAATGAGGGTGAACACAGATCGGGACCTGGTATAGCATATACAATAAAACAATATGTTGCGTATTATTGAAATATCAGTTAATCTTTCTTCACTATCACAATAGTTCACATATGATCACAACCTAAACCGACGTCACAGTGTCCGACATATAACAGGAGGTTGTTCATTCACGTGGCCGTACCAATTCAAATATTACATCTGTTGTATTTTAAAGATCATGTGTAACATAAAAAGGAATTCCGGTTTCATAATATCAGGGAAATAACTTGAACCAATTTTGTGTTCTGTATGGTGCGAAACTGAGGACAAACTCTAGTGTTTACCTGCTATTAACATTGTGGATATGCAATATACGTATATTCTAATTAATTTAGATCATTTCATATTTATCAAAAGATAATCGAATAAAGTACCATATTGTTTTGAACAAAATAGAAGCAAGTCCACATTTATATTGAAAACAGCTACTTAGACACTTTTGAAAAATGCTGGACAATGTTTTGGTCATGTCAGATGTCGCAGGTACTCTGGCCAAAAACATTCCATGTTAGAAAATGGTAAAACTCTGATAACTTTCGAGTTGTGGCCAAAACATCTTCGGAATGATAAGAAATAGATATAATAAAGGAAATTGCTTTCCGAATTACACTTTCAAATCAAGTTGACAATAATCTGAAAACCGAAGCTGGAGTGACATCAGGAGCTATCTTTCACTGTAGGTATTTGTACACTTTGTAGCAATGGTTTCCGGAATCGGACACAATTACGTGACCGTCGTCCGTGACAGCCAGTCCCTGGGGTCCGTAGAGCGGCTCGGCGGAGGAGTTGACGAAGCTGAGGAAAGACCCCGTACTGTCGAATACCTAAAACAGAAGAGTTGTACAAATGTTGAAAGACGCGTTGTAATTTAAAATCAAATAAGTGTAAACGGAGAAACGTTTATAATATACCATTAAAAATCCAATCTCTACCCAGGGTTGTCGTTCCTTTTCAATCACAAAATAAAGGGACTGCAAGGACCGTAACTCTGCGTGGAGATTGTTAAAAATCGTGTAACGAGAGGAATAAGGTGTACACCAAAAAGACGTGTAACAGGAGACACGTGTAATAATGTACAACTAAAACAAGTCTAACGGGAGAAACGTTAATGATGTACAATTAAAAAACGGTGTTAATGGACGAATGTGTTGTAGTGTACTTATACGTGTAACAGGAAAAAAACGTTGTAATGTATAACTAAAACACGTGTAACCGGTGTAACGGTAACAGTTGCAACGGTAGGAATGTGCAGTAATATACAAGTAAAACACGTGTAGTGAGAGGAACGTGTTGTAACATACAACACCAACACGTGCAACGCAGTTAATATGTTAACTAGCAGAACACGTGTAACGGGAGATATTTAAATGACAAAAGCATGTTTGATTTGGTTTTATTAGTTTAACTGTCCTATTACCGGTTAGGGTCATTTAAAGACATGTTTAAAGATATGTAATTAAACACCTGTTATGGAACGAAGGCACATTTCCATGTGTCATTGAACCACGGAATTAGCTATCTAATGCTGTAAGTAATATTCATCATGTAGTGGGATCTGTTATTAAGGAACTAAAGTGTGAAGACCATTGAGGGGTCACTATCTAGCAAGTTTGGACTTATGCAAATTTGCTATCTAGCAAGTCCGGACTAATAAAGGTTCGCTGTCTAAAAGATCCGGACCAATAAGGGTGCGCTATCTAGAATGTCCAGATTTATGAGAGGTAGCTATCTTAACACTAATACCACGATTGATGAGGGTTGTTTTCAAAAATGTCAGGACAAAGAGGTTCCCTATCCGAAATGTCCAGACTAATGATGGTTCTTTATCCAGAATGTCCGGACTAATGAGGGTACTTAAACAGGAATGTCCGGACTAATGAGGGTTCTTTATCAGGAATAAATAACCGGATTAATGTGGATTCTCTAACAGGAATGTCCGGACTAATGAGGGTTCTCTATCGGGAATGTCCGGACTAATGAGGGTTCTCTATCAGGAATATCAGGACTAATGAAAGTTTGATATTCAGAATGTCGGAACTGATTAATGTTTCCTATCTAAAGAGCTGACTAACGAAGCTTTGCTTTCTAAGCTTTGCTGTTTAAAGTGTCCGGAATAATAAAAGTTTTCTTACTAATGATTAGGATCCGTTATCTAACATATCCTACTAATAAAGGTATCGTATCTAAATTGTCCGGACCAAAGAGCGTTTACTGTCTGAAATGCCCAATTAATTATGGTTTGCTTACTTAAGTGTCTTGTTTATAAGCGGTTCGCTATCTATTCTCCCACCCTTCACAGGTGTGTCTCCCGTTTTAGCATGGGAAGATCAGCTTGTTACCCACAAGGGGGGATAGCCTCGTGCCGATTAGCACGTGTTCAATTGTGACGTCATGAAAATGCGTCATCAGTAATTGTGACGTCATCAAAAGTGAATGAAGATATGCATACCCCACATGTGTTTTTGTTTACAAACATGGCAGACTACTGTCGATGGAGCTGTGACTGAAATAAATAGGATGAGAGAAAAATAATCATCCCCTACCTTGAGGGTGTAACAGAGAAATCTCCAACCCTCGGGCTAATTATTTGGTTGTCTAACCCTCGACAGAGCCTCGGGTTAGACAACCAAAAAACATCACCCTCGGGTTGGAGATTTCTCTGTCACACCCTCAAGGTAGGGGAAAATTATATTAATCTTTCCCGGCTAAAACGGGAGACACACATGTGAAGGTTGGGAGAAAATCTCGTCTGCAGTATTTGTTACGGTGTACATCGAGTTAATGCCGTTTAGAGAAGCTAGCTTATGTGTGCTGTAGGTGTCTGGATAATCGAATTGGCTACACGCCTATTTGGACAGAGCCCTCGGCTACAGCTCCCGGGGTTCGATAACAAAACAAAATACTTACTACCATGAAATATACATGAGCTTAGGTACAGTTAAATCCCTTTTGGTTGTTTTATGGATGCGAGAAACATCGAGTAAAGATTTTGTTGTCAATTAATGTCTTGCCCAAGCAATGCCAGGAAACTACTTATCTATGTTAAAGCAAGCATCATGCTGTACTGGAGACATGCGAATACAACTACAGGGTCCATCAGTATAGCTACATATATGACGTCCGAATATATACATAATGTAGCTATGTGTACGATGGTTCAGGTTTTACTTGAAAGAAATGCTCTCCTTGTTGACTTCGTCATGTAGCTGTTCTGTGTGTTTTAAGTACACGTAGCTGTTCTGTGTGTGTTTACAAACAAGTAGTAGCCGTTCTGTGTGTGTTTACGTACATGTAGCTGTTCTGTGTGTGTTTTAGTACACGTAGCTGTTCTGTGTGTGTTTATGTAAACGTAGCTGTTCTGTGTGTGTTAACAAACACGTAGCTGTTCTGTGTGTGTTAAGTACACGTAGCTGGTCTGTGTGTGTTTTAGTACACGTAGCTGTTCTGTGTGTGTTTATGTACACGTAGCTGTTCTGTGTGTGTTAACGTACACGTAGCTGTTCTTTGTGTGTTTACGTACACGTAGCTCTTCTGTGTGTGTTTACGTACACGTAGTTGTTCTGTGTGTGTTTACGTACACGTAACTGTTTTGTGTGTGTTTACGTACACGTAGTTGTTCTGTGTGTGTTTACGTACATGTAGCTGGTATGTGTGTATTACGTCCACGTAACTGTTCTGTGTGTGTTGACCTACACGTAGCTGTTCTGTGTGTGATTACGTACACGTAGCTGTTATGTGTGTGTTAACAAACACGTAGCTGTTCTGTGTGTGTTTTCGTACACGTAGCTGTTCTGTGTGTTTACGTACACGTAGTTGTTCTGTGTGTGTTTACGTACACGCAGCTGTTCTGTGTGTGTTTTAGTACACGTAGCTGTTCTGTGGGTGTTTACGTACACGTAGTTTTTCTCTGTGTGTTAACATACACGTAGCTGTTATGTGTGTGTTAACGTACACATAGCTGTTCTGTGTGTGTTTACGCACACGTAGCTGTTCTGTGTGTATTTACGTACACGTAGCTGTTCTTTGTGTGTTTACGTACACGTAGCTTGTATGTGTGTATTACGTACACGTAACTGTTCTTTGTGTGTTTACGTACACGTAGCTGTTTTGTGTGTGTTTACGTACACGTAGTTGTTCTGTGTGTGTTTACGTACATGTAGCTGGTATGTGTGTATTACGTCCACGTAACTGTTCTGTGTGTGTTTACGTACATGTAGCTGTTCTGTGTGTGTTTACGTACACGTAGCTGTTTTGTGTGTGTTTACGTACACGTAGCTGGTATGTGTGTATTACGTACACGTAACTGTTCTGTGTGTGTTTACGTACACGTAGCTGTTCTGTGTGTGTTTACGTACACGTAGTTGTTCTGTGTGTGTTTACGTACACGTAGCTGTTCTTTGTGTGTTAATTTAAGGACGTGCCAGCTGTAGAGTTTTACGTACACGTAGTTGTTCTGTGTGTGTTTACGTACACGTAGCTGTTATGTGTGTGTTAACGTACACATAGCTGTTCTGTGTGTGGTAACGTCCAAATAGCTGTTCTGTGTGTGGTTACGTCCAAGAAGCTGCTTTGTATGTGGTTACGTACAATTAGCTGTTCTGTGGGTGTTTACGTACACGTAGTTTTTCTCTGTGTGTTAACATACACGTAGCTGTTCTGTGTGTGTTAACATACACGTAGCTGTTCTGTGGGTTTACGTACACGTAGCTGTTCTGTGTGTGTTTACTTTCACGTATCTGTTTTGTGTGTGTGTATACGTACAATCAACTGCCGTGTGCATATGTACACGTTGTGTTTAACTTGAAGTGCACATGTCTGTCTTACTGCTTACAGATCAAGCCATATATTCGGGTTATTTGCATCACTTACAGCAGAAATGATGACAGCTGAGAAAAGATTGCTGGTATACTAAACATGGAAACGATAGTCCAGTCAAGTCAACCGTATTCTACAGATACTGTGGCTGTTAGCGGACGTAGAAGAGGAAGCTAACTAATAAATGGCCAGTGAGGCAAAAAGCATAGATTACGGAATCTGTCATTAATCCCCCGCGTTGTAACAGTAATTTCCTGTCTGGGTCACGTTGATCACGTGATTGATACCGCACGTGCTAATCACTCTATAAGTGTACCTAATATGGCTTTACGGAAAAAAATGTGGAACTACAGAATAAGGATATAATTGCCAATTATACTGTTCGCTTTTAACAGCGACATCCAAATTACGAGACATCACGTGACTTTGGTTGTGTTTGTGGAAGGTCTTCAAACATTCATCAAGGAAGAAAAATGCATCGCTTAAGCCAGTGTCCTTAAAATGCATCTACCTTACTCTAACATGTATATCCATTCAAGAAGGAGTAACATGATTACATATTTATGAGTGATGACTCGATCTAAATAATTTGATGGTACATGCATGCATCGATATGATTCCGTGTTATATCCTCATTATTAACAACTTAATTTTAAATCTATTTGAAAGGTATATCAGACATTTTATTTAACGCCCAAACAATTCTGAAATATCATATGATTAACCCACGCGGATACTGTAAGGGAGATAACTCGAACACAAATCAAGGTAGCTCATAGCCAAAAGAAGCACATTTTCCCATGCATATTTATGACTTAATGATAATCATATTCATTTCTTCATTGCCTTTATGAGACGATCAGATGTCTTAATTAATTCTAGTTCTAACATATGCAGATTGTTATAACAACTTTATACAGCGGCTGGTATCATTTGTGCATAGTGAAAAACGGCTCGTTTCAGGATTTTAAATGCTCATCAAAAACAGACAAATATTATATTTCGAAAATTTGAGTGGGTCTCAACAACCCATTACGTTAACGATGGTTACTGAAATAACAAAGGAGACTGTATCAGTTAATCCTGAAGTCCATACAATTTGAAAACACAAAATCATCCATGTTTTTGTCTCCAAAATGATGATGATGATCATAGTTTTATTGAAAAACGGAGTCATTTGACTTAATCAACGGTGTTAATCAGTGAACCATGTAAATCCTTAAATCTGACAACAATGCATCAGGGGTCATGCTTTGGTGACCTTTCATTTTATACATGGATGCTTTAATTAAATCTATACATGAGTTTTCCACAATTGTGTTTTTCAGAGCGTCATAATAATTGACTGACGTAAAAGGTCAACATAATGTGACCCCTGACATCGTGTTGTTTCCTGGGTGCGTAGTTAAAATTACCTCATAACTCATTTGAACTCTTCCAATTCAAAGGCTGGAATAGCTCATTATGAAATTGCAGGGGTGAATGAGTTAAACCATACCCATAATTATCTGGATATGTAGACTGGTTTAATCCTTTACCTACATAATTACCTACTATAAGTCCGATTTACATCAGCCTTATACCAGATCTTATATTGTTACCTGAATATCTGAGATAGCCTAAACTCTAATATAGCTACCTGTATTTGAATGTTACCCTCTGATACCCTAAACAACATAGATTACCTGGATCCGTGAGTTCCCCCAGTCCGCCACCAGGATGTTGCCGTTGCTGTCTACTGCTAGTCCGGTGGGCGCATTGAACTGGCCGTTTCCTTCCCCATTTGATCCGAAACTACTGAGAAAGTTCCCTTCACCGTCAAACACTTTGATGCAGTGATTGTGGAAATCTGAGATGAGTATATCATTGTCCTTGTTCACGGCTACGTAGTGAGGTCCTGCGAACTGCCAGTCATGGTTCCCCCTAGATCCGAACTTTGATATCAGTTTACCGTTAGATTGAAATATGAACACACAACTTCCCTTGTTGTCCACGACTATGATGTGTCCGTTCTTATCCACAGCGATCCCCTTTGGTCCCAAAAGTTTCCCGGTACCTATCTTGTTTACGTACTTTCCTTCTGGAGAGAAAACACTGATCCACTTGTTGTCATAGTCGGCCACCAAGTAGTTCCCGTTCAGGGAAGCAGTCACTCCCGTGGGTCGTTGGAGCTTCCCTGCAACCCGTCCGGGGGACCCAAACTTGATTTTACAGTCACCAATCTCACTGAATACCTGAACACACTGGTTGTTGCTGTCGGCCACTACTGTCTTTCCTCCAACCACACACACTCCTTGTGGGTTTGTAAACTCGCCTTTGTTTCGGCCTTTCGTACCAATTCTCATCAACAGGTCGTCTTCGATGGGGTTGCTACGACGGTTCGATCCATGCGACCTTGAACTTGATAGGCGTTTTGTTCCTTTTTGTTTCACAACGGTTCTCGGTATTTTTGACGAATTTCCTAGGTGGTCGGATCCTTCATCCACACCGGAAAGAGCCCTGATTTTAAATGGGGAACCCCGAATATGTTGACCATAAAGCTTGACGTCAAGTTCATAGGCAGCTTCTTTTTTAACTGTATACGATATCTCATAACTACCGTTCTGGTGGTCGATAATGGCCGGAGATTGCTTGTGACCAGATTCGTCACGTATTTCCGCCGAGAGAGAAGCGAATCCGATCTTAATTAACTCCCCTTTCCTGTCCTTGGTTGTCACGGTGATGATAGAAGGCCTACCGATGTGACATACCTTGAGGCCGTCACCACTGGCAACCGTCTCAAAGGCTATAGCACTATTACTGTTAATATTACCGACGTTTACCATTAACTTTTTGAGACTTTGAAAATGACTAGGGTCAAAGATCAGACACTCATTCTCTTCGGGCTGAAATTGAAGTCTAAGAGCAGGTAGTTCCTTCAACTTTTCTGACATTTCCTTCTTTATAAGCAATATTTCTGTTTCACTTCCACTTTTTAATGTTTCATCAGTCACGTCACAACAATTAGACATTCTAGACAGAATGCTTTCAAGTCTTTCTTTCTGGCCTGCGAGAGTCAATTTCTTGTGGTCGTAGATTGTCGACAGTTCGCCCAGAAGAGCAGTTTCTCTTTCATCCATCATTTTTCTAAGGTCTCCAAATGCAGTTTTGATTTTATCCTCGGCATAAGCGTTATTCTCGTGCAGATTATCCGTAACTGTCCCTACAGTGACAATAGCCGACTCCAAACTTGGAATCTGCTCTCTGGCTTTCGTTACCAAATCTTGCAACTGACCTTTCTGTTCGAAAATTGCCTCCTCAAGTAGCACTGTCTTGTGGCCAATGTGTTCCACATCAGTACAATCTTTGCACACGGCCGTTTCACATGCACAGCAATAGTACAACAGAGAATTCCCGTCATGGTTAGGGCAAACAAGCGTCATATCGAGGGATTTATCCGCGTAGCCTGTGACGTCAGCCAGTAATATGACGTTGTGCTCCTTAGTGAGGTCCTCGGTCAAATGAGAGTCGGAACACTTTTCACATAAGAAGTCTCCACAGTCGACACACTTGGACATAGACGTCCCACTCTCTTTCCCACAGTCCCGACACACCTTGGGGTTCTCGATAACCTCGATCAAATTCGTAATGAAGAAATTTGATTGGAGAGCTTCAACGCCCTCTTGTGGTAGAATAGACTGTTGGCGACAGATAGGACAAGTGATTGAGAGACTCTCCGGTGGGATATAGCTATCCAAACACTTCTGACAGAAGGTGTGCAGACAGGGCAATACCTTCGGTGTTGTATACCTCTCCAAACATATCCCACAACTCAATAACTGTTGGTCGATCTGACGCATCACCGAAAAACTCTCTGCCATGATGATCCGAGAGTTACCTCCCTTGGTAGCCTGAAATCAAGCAGAAAATGGATGAGTACATCGTTAATACGACTTGGCGAAACTACTTTTTGTAGAATTACCTTCGAACTGGTCACTCAATTTCAACCAAGCTGAAAATAAAGATTAATCAAAGAAAACCTTTAATATCCAATAACCAATTCATATATATGATTCCCTCTTAATCATGATATAGAAAGATGTTTCATCACGTGAACGCATACTGACACGGTTCGAAAACCATTTCAGTTGGTTGTACGTTGTACCAGGGCCTCTGTATTTGTATGTATGGATACATAACGATTCTGCTTCAACATCCAGGTAAACAATTGACCTGTGTAGCAATAAATCATTTGACTTCAAATGCAAATATTTTACAATTCAATTACAAGTGCCAGACACAAAAATTATCCACAATGCTTTATGTCTAAGTGGCCTGATGACCGACATACATTTGAAGTCGATAGATTTGTGTTTTCAGTGTAAGTAGCAGTCGACAGGTGAACGTTTTTGACTAAAATTAAATTTCCACTTCAGCTTCTTCCGACGGGCTTACGTTAATAACAAACTGGTTTCTAATATTTTAGTACATCTTTTGAGTTTGATTTTATCGATGATAATTATTGAAAGTTCTGAATTTCTTTGATGCTACAACAATAACTACTGATACTTAATCGTTCAAACAGAGAAATATTGCTAAAAATATATTGCTAGCAAACGATGATTAGAAAGTTTTAGTCTGTAAACCAATAGAACAAAAAAGTATGTGGGTAGACAAATGTTTTGAATAATCTATGATTCTGTTCGCAACAAAATTGGCTTGAAACGACGCTTTCCAAATCATAAATAAATGAGGTGTCGAATTTTACTCCAGGTTGCGGTCAAAGTAACCAATGGCTTTCTGGTCGCCCCTCGGGGAAATTGTCAATTAGCAGTCATTGTTAGAGTATGTATACCATTGTACATCGATTAGGATAACATGGTCTGATCGTGAAATGATGACCACGGGATATGACTATTATCACTTAATATGATCTGACATATACCTAAAGTCAATCCATATCGTGTGGTCAACGATGTGGTCAACGATGTGTGGTCAACGGAGCGAAGTCGCGGTTAACAGTGTATTGTATGCTTACCGTTGACTTCAATAAATAAAATATAAACTTGATTTATTTTGTTTTAACTTATAATAGTCACTCTTGTTAGCCCAGATGTTAGCGCGTGGGGGGTCTTAGTGTCGGAGGACACTGGAGTACCCAGAGAAAACCCACGTTATCAGGCAGGTGACCCCAACCTTTTGACGTCCGATCGGGGAATCGAACTCCGGCCGCCTTGGTGAAAGGCAAGTGCGCTATTCACTGAACTACCCGACCACCCAAAACAAGACTGCGTTCATCTATGATGCATTTCACTGTCATAGGCTGCATTGTTACAATTTTAAACTGTACTTGATTATTTTGCCATTCATTGTAATATGAAGTAAAATTATGATATTCGTGTTTATCGTTGCATAGGATATATACTGCTTTTCATAATGAACATTATGATATCATAATGCTGTATCGTCTTACTGTTAATTTGGAATGTGTAGTGTGTACTCTCCTATGTGTTAAACAGGGAACATGCTTAAACCATAGACTTAACACACATTGCATGTTCGAGATGTAAGTAAAATAATTAATTCTTCTCTTACTTTCAAACGTGCATTGCATTTGAAAGGTATGTTATGGAGCCAAGTTTTAATTTACAAATGATGAGTAATTTATATTTTGAAGAAAAAATTACTACGCCTGTATTTCTATTCATATTTCATAAAATTAAATTTGTTACATTATAACGTATATGAAGTAGTAAGATATCCTGTTTATGTAAAGTACATGTACCAGGGAACATGGTAAAATAAAAAATACTGGTTAAGACAGTACATCAATTATAACGCAAGACCAAATCGTTTTAGTTTAGTCAGTATAATTTTCAGACATTGTTTGCATGCGACTGTGCCTGAATTAGGGGCACCAATCAATTGACAATGTTCGGCATGAATAACTCCAAATACTGGAGAAAAGTAACTTCATGATAAGCAATGATTTAACAACATTACACTTCAAAAAATATGTAACGGGTTATTTGCATTAACAGAAATGTCGTAATTGTAATATAATAATAAAGAAAAGACTGAAGTATATGCTTGTGGCGGAGGACGTTTCCCATGTTGATTGACTACTTACATTCCTAGTAAATTGAAATAAACAAATCTTGATATCAAATTTGATAATTTTGAGAGATATTGTCTTTGGAGGTTATACCAATACCAAAGTCATTAAATGTAAAAAAAAAAAAATCTTAATTCCGGCAAATATTGATTTACAACGTATCTTAAATTATTTAATAGCAGTGCTGACAGGAGTAGATCAATATATATACATACGCAATATCTGTGTTTCGGCCTTATCTCCGTGGCGTCCATTTTAGATGTGGGTGTATCACATATGTATACTTGTGAATGTTTTTTGTAAGATTTACAAACATGAATACAAATTTGGGCTGGAAACATCCACAGCTACATGGTCATTACAAAGGCCAGCGCGTGCTTCGTGTTCTCGTAAGCCACGACAATCAAACAGAAATAAAACGAACAGAAATCGCTTGATCCTGGTATCAATATAATGTCACCGGTTCGTTCACATGTAAATTCTGCCGATACTGATGCATTTTCCATGTCGACGGGTTGATATAGACATGCCGTGACGACATTTATTGATGAGGCCCAGTGAAGGGTACACTTCAGTCGGAGCTTTCATTAACAATAATTAACATCAATTAAAATGATGGTTAAAAAACACTAGTTTGATGATAAAAGTTATTTATTGAATACTGGATATTTTATTGAATATTTTGTGAACAAAATAATATTCTTTAAGAATATAACTAACGAATATAACACAACTGTTATCTGAATTCAATGAAAATTAGTTTTCGTAAAATAAAATACCCCTTTGCGATGGCCCCTTTTCAGACCACCATGACAAAGTGCCCATCAGTCAAGTTGTAAGTAACCCCCCGGCCCTTTAGTTTACACGAACAGATCAAATTGTTGTCTCTGACTAATTGGCGTCGGTTAAATCTATGATGGCCAGGGCCATTATCATTATAGGTATATGTAATCTGTTAATATACATATCTTTCATCTTAAATATGGAAACGTCAAATACCTATGTATAACTAGACGATGATGTATCAGACACTTTTTTAATTGACGAGGACCGGACATTTGATTTAGCGATGGAGACGGATCGGATACAACTATACATTTTGTCATTATGGTAGGGTACAGGCATGTAATGAGCTGGTTAAGTTATGGACTATATGTCAATTTCATAATTAAACAATAAACGAATACATCTTATCGATGGTCGGCTCACTATACTAAGGTGGACTACATTCCGGCTGAAAAATAATTGAAATGTTACGCATTGGGCCGGATCTGCCTTTCTGGTTTAAAGAAAAGGGCTCATCATTCTCAATAACATTACAGATGTTTAAAAAGCTCTAACCAACAGACAATTTTGGTGACTTATTATGAATTATGTACCAAAATGTTCTTGAATTCACTGGTCCATTTCCTTAATAAATCTCGGACTTAAGTAAAGCTATACTGTTTACACCACTAATGGTTCTTTACTTTGAGAACGATCTCAATTCTCAAAATTAGTTTCGAGTTAGGGGTGTAGGTTGTTAGTGTAAAGGAGTACGGTTGTAGGTGTTTAGAGTTAAGTCTGGTGTATAAGGTTTTAGGTGTTTGGGATTATGGGTAGACATTACATTTATCAAATAGCGAGGGAAATGGAAAGAAACACTCATTGACTTTAAACAATATCAGAAATACTAACTGTGAAACTTCTGAAAAGACTTTTGAATTATGCTAAAAATACTCCAGTGAAACATAGTAGTCTTGCTAAAGTCCAATAACTTTAATGGATGGAACCAATCGATTAAGCCATCTGTGTACACTGTGAATGCCAGGCTGATATATACAGTGGTGTGTTCCAATACAAGGTAGTTATATTACTAAATAGTTATAACTTATATATATGATGTGCCAAGTAGATCGATACATTTATATATGTGTGTATTTACACACTCATTATAAATAAGTATGGAAAAATGATATCAAGACATACGGCTTGATACCACCGGAACCGGATGTACGGATACAAATCTTAATCTATTCCGGCTAAAACTGGAATAAAATTCGAGTGCAGTTCCGGTTCCTATAATCTGTAGTGATGTCATTGTTACAATCGGAACATGTGACTGGATGTGTCAATCTTAAGTGCATGTTATTTAGATAATATAATATATCTTATAATATAACCTTGCTCATTGCATTGAACCTGTGACGGCAGACGTATGGTCGGATCGATCCAAAATGGCCGCTCTAATAACTAATTTAGGTAGGAATAATAACGACAAACACTATTTCCAAATCGAGATAACTATAAAATTAAAAGCGATGCTTTCAGATGATAAGAAAACGTTTACTGATATCCTGTAAAGTCCTAACGGTCAATTGACCCAATAAGTAATATAAGGCCATATTATTAAAATAATGTGCAAGTGTGTCAAGAGATGAAACAGTAAAAAAATAAATAAGAAAAGAATGAACTGTCAAAAAAGGAGTAAACACAACAGATGAAAGAAGTTTGGAAGGATGACAATTGAAGAAAGTAAAAAAACAAGGTTGGATGCATGAAGGGAGTATGAACCGAGAGTGGTGTGTTTGTGGTACAAAACATATCCCCCTCCCCTATGAGGTTAGCGCATGAACGGGGAGAATGAAGCGCCATGAAAACAGGAAGTGTGGTAAGATATACAGGAACTAGAAGTAAGCAAGTTTTCATCTATAGAGAAATATTACCTACTAGTATACGTACTGTCGATAATGTCATGTTTTCAGAGAAGTCACCAACTGTCACACATTACAATATCTTGGTTATAAGTGTACTGTTCAATATGTACATAATTAAATGTTATGTTGTTGTTGAGAAGTGCTCAGCATATCACTAAAGTGCCATCTCGCATGACGCTTAGAAAGAACCATATGGAAAAGCGGCGCATTATTGGCACGTGGGTTAATTATCGTCATTTACTGTCTATTTCTGAATATTCCAGTAATGCTACTTTCCATATTCTACAAACAATATAATATTTAGCGCGAAGCATGAGGCCGCATATACATGTATATAAAAGCACACGCGAGATTATGTGTGGAGAAAGCCATGTTTCCCCGTACCACGCGAGGACAGGGAGGATATTGATCAGCCCTTACACCACATGTTCGGCCTTTCTCTTTCTGTGAGCAATGTGTTAACGGATCGTGACATGCTTTTATCGGTGTACGCTGACATGATCTTAATTGTTACAGCACAGTTTTATCAAACAGTAAAACATTTACCTTCTAACGACTACGTCTCCACAGGACCCGGAATCTGTTCCATCCATGTTGGAATTGTTCCGGTTTCTACAGCTAACGTTAGTTCCGTTTCCAGCTATTATAATATTATAAGCGAAACTATTATAATATTATAATTTTATAAATAGCGTCACGGAAAGCCTAAAGCCAATTTATACAAACGACCACAGCGAAAACAGTAAAAAATGTTATTCTTGTTCACGCCAAAAGCCATCGACGTGAATTTCTACATTATCCGGAAAAATCAATTCTATTAAACACATGTGGAGAGCTCCCGGAATGTCAGTTTCAGCATGTGCACCGAAATAACTTTGACAGAAATCAATACTATACGTCACAAATCCTTGAATTCTATTCCTCCTGTGTGAAGGATCGATATATTAGTCTGGAGGAAACACACGGTACACATACAACATCCCAAAACTGACACGACATACATGAAACCTCCAAATATTACGCGGGAATGTTGTATTTAAAGACTGTGCTATACAGATCGACCCTCTACGTCAATAATTCAGGCAAGGAATGTGCCGATCACTGGTCGGAAATCGATCGATACTCTCGATTCAGTGTAACACACATTCAGACTGAATCACTCGCGGTCTTTCCACGTGCTAGCTTGGGTGAGTGCTGTATATGTGCTCGTCAACCTCCGCTACATAAACAAACGGGTATTATTGCAGGCAGAATAATACGTGAATGCACTTTTTTCGTTCAAAATCAAGCATGTGTAAATCACATATTCCGCCTGTGTGCGGTGTAATGATTCACCTTTCAGCCGGTCGATATAATTTGTACAAGACAAATTGTGATTCAAGGCATCGGAGCTATATACTGGTTCTGGATAATTAACCACGACAAGAAATTTAAGAGAAATCAAGAAATATAATCTTTTCGTAAACATGATTTATAGTGTAATGCACTTTATGGCGAATTGACTAATGCTTTTTGAATAAACCCATTTGTGCCAAAAACATTTAATAAAAGTATAAAAAAACGAATTTACATTAGTCCGGCATCAACGGCGATGCGTCTTTTTCTATTACACACTTCTTCTGTTAAATACTTATAAATATCTGACAGGTGGCAATGAGTAAATGTATTGATATAAAAAGTCTCAGCTGGTCTTGAAATATAATCACTTTAAGTGTTTCTTTGGATCACTTAAAATGCGAGTAGCTATCGCGCGATGATAAGTTGCAAAATACATATTAAGGTTTGGACATTTACATGCAGAAACCCCCTAAAGGTTTGAACAAGTAGTAGGCTGTATTCAAGTACATGTTATCCTAAGAGGCAACCTCTTCAGCAAAGTTGGCTTTCTTTTGTTTAGAAGGTATCGAAAAAAATGATCGGCTGTCCCCATATAGTAATACTTGGAACCTATTTCTTTATATTTCGCACTAACCTTCTTGTTCGGCAGCTTCGCTCGTCTTCAAATTACCTTAGCTTTTTCGACAAAATTTAACCCCAAACAAACAAACAAAATACATACAAATGTTAATATAGGTTACTCGGCGGGTACTGTATACAAACAACGGGTTTTATCCTGCAATTGTGACGAACGTTTGTTGTGTCTGTCTTTTGTTGTCATGTTGATTACGTCACAAATTAAAGTCGCCCTTTTAAACATACACATTATCATCAACGCGTAAACGCTGAAGGTTGTATCCTGGTCAACCCAATGGTTTCTCGTTACCACTTGGATACTTTGTTATGAGAAACTTGCAACAGCTACGTTATTGATGACGAGGTGTTCACAAATAAAAGGGCTACTTGAAGGCCGCTTTGAAGTGCAACTGAAGCAACTGAAACGTCATAACGTTTGACAAGGTAGTGTGAAATGTACCCTAGTAAAGTTTACAGTACACTAAGCGGAAACGGAAATATCAACGAAAGGAAACAGAACATATGAATATCACAATTAGGCCAATGAAGGCAGAAGAATAGTTCATTTTCTGTCCCTTAGATTTCCCGAATAAATGAAAAGGTCACCAATTTCTTTCCATTCTGGTTCTTCAAAAGTTTGGGTTCAGATTACAATAAATCAACTGAAAGGTTTGTGACATCAACCTTCAAAGACTACAGGGTATACAACAAATTGTGGTGGCTGACACTATCTTGAGAGAACCTGATCGTATGCAACACCGCATAACTGGCCTGTTCATCCAAATTGATTTCTGTAAGTTACTTGACTGAATGTTACAGCTTACACGATATGCAGTCCAATTTGAAAAAAAGGACGGACAAGGCCTTTGGGCCACCAAACCAGGTTTATAAGCTTCTATGAGAGTAGCAATAGTATATCAAAAAGAAGAAAAAATGTTGGAAGAATAGCGTTCTTTTTCGGATAACGGTGTGCAAAATGGTGAGGTGTTTACGGGAAAGGTCCAGGGGAGATGTTTGGTAAGGTTTGATTTGTTTGTGTTTTACGTCCTATTAACAGCTATGGTTATTTAAGGACGTGCCAGGTTTTGGTGGTGAAGGAAACCCGAAGTTCCCTGAAAAAAGCCACCGAATTGCGGCCAATATCTGGTGGCTGCCCCACGTAGGCATCGAACCCACGACCCAGTGGTGGAGGGCTAGTGGTAGCAGAAAAAAACAGCAATTTTTGCGAGATTTACTCACGGAAATGGCGAGGAAGTTATTAAGAAGAAATTGACCGGCCATTGACTCAACGCACCAACAGTTACAGGTTTCTATGATTTATGTCAATGATGTCGGGCTTTTACTTTTTAATACAGGCGCTACCTAGAGCCAATCATAATCGGTTTTCGTAAGGTGTGTCTGTAACAGAGTGGGTGATTTGAGATGAATTGACTTAGAAAATCAAGTAATGTTTTTAATGCTTTCAAGAAAACAGGCCAAACAGACTTTGGCAAGGAAATAATAGACGACGCACTGAAAGGTCACACCGTAGAAAAATGGTCTTTTTACGGCGACAGAATCAGGGCAGGGATTATCCCAGACAATCCATCCGGCCGGGTTCCACGGCCCCTTAGCCAGTTTAGTCAACAGAACCAACCCAAATACAGGATTTCATGTAAGTCTAGTGGGCTCCTGCGGTAAAATAAAACTCTATGTTCTATTTTGCAAATCCATCACAAATGTTGAGAGGATATTACAAAGCTTGCAGGGCTTAGCTTTCGATATTGAAATCCATCCCATCCATACTTCACCACTAGGACTGATTTCCTTATTCTGCGAGAAAGAAGCAAAAATATTTACGAAGGAGATGCTGAACATTTACAAAAAGGCAGGATTTATTATTCTGTGCAGAACCGCAAATAGGGCGTTAATGTCTTGGAGGAAACTCAATGATAACTTGGTATATCATCATTTAAAACCAGAACTTAATGAAGCATTTGAATCAACTGAAAAATGTTTATTATTGACAGCTATTGATCAGAAAGGCGCCTACCTAAATAAACGACTCGGCAACGAATATAGTAAAATCTTTAAATACCTCTGGAATAGGTCCATGTACGAATATGTGGCGTTGGCCTAAAGAAGTGTAACTATAAAGATCGTCAACAGTTTGTTTTTGTTTCCATTTTGTTAAGTATTTCTTTTACTACAATTTAGTGCATTTGTATTTGTGGCTTTAATTATATTAATAATTCTTTAATCAAGGCAACCAAGAAAACTCTGAGTGAAAACCTGCTTGACTTTAGCAGACAGTTTAAGAATCGGAAGGTTTTCATATCAATGCAGCAACGTCAATTTTCCAGGCAGAACGTGAGATTGTTCATTAAGCCTATGTGATTGTTTCCATTAGTTTCGCATTTTCTCTTACGCAGGAAAATGTACAAAAAGAGGTGTGACAGCTATGCTGGTATATCAGGCAAAGATAACATATTCTTAGAGATTTAGCTTGTTTGATAGTTCTTTGTTAAGTAAGTACTGAGGACAGTAAGTCTGACAGTTCTCTGCTATAGACGAAGAGATAAGTTACGACAGGGGTTTTGAGATCAGGAATGTAATCCACCCCTGAAATTCCATAATGAACTATTCCAACATTTGAATTGGAAGAGTTCAAACGTGTCTTCAGGGGTGAATGAGTTAAAAGCCCGAAAACTCACTTATGATATAGAAACGGATGTATTTAGGTCAGGTTAGGCAGAAAGGTAGGGAGATGGACAGACTAGAGGTTATTGGTCTGCCGCAAAGAGAATGTCATATCAGTGATTTAAAAATAATGTGGCTAGCTATCTAATCACTTTGAATGACAGTTCGGAATCTGCACATCAGGGAAAGTCAGACAATGTAAGTCACAAAGCTTATATAAATAAATATGGGAGAGCATGGTCGATTCAGTTTTGAGCGAGGTTGCTAAACATATCCGGAGTTGGTTTGAGAAAAGTAATATCATTTGTTGGCATGTTATTAATCGGTCAGTGCTGAATGTGAATGTTTCCCCCATAACCTTTCATTGAGTGAAATGATATTCAGGGGAATATGAATGCTACATATCTTCTTAATTCATGGTATAAAGTTAAGATTATGAAAAGTTCTTGTTACACAACAATTAGTGTGTCTATGTGATCTTTCGATGACTAGTATGATGTGTACTCTTCATCAGACAAATGACCAGTGAAGCGTTTGCACACAAAGGTGTAAAATGTGTACGAGTTGTCCACAAAATCGATGTCGATTCGGCCACGCTGGAAGCGTATACAATAGTTGTTACATAGGTACCGAAATCACTCGATTCAGCTATGCTTTGTTTAATACTTAGTCATAGATGTGCGAGAGTCTATGAGCCCCCTCACCTCGATTTAGAACTGGCCCACTACGGCGTATCCATGTAGCTCCTTTATCTGCCACTTGAACAGATCACCCCCTCTGCCCAATTCTTTGGAGCTATCCCAGTCAATCACATGCTTTTTCTGTGTGGCATGGTCTGTGATTGCCGATTTGGGGTACATCTTGGTGTTCCCAGACAAATAACTCGGCAATCACAGACCATGCAACACAAAGTATTGCAGGTTGTAGTTGACATCTTTACAACATGGCAAAGCATTACAGTATTTAATTCTCACATATTTCCACACTGTTCTTTGTTGAGGAACTCCCATTTGAAGGAAAATAAGCTGATTTCATTAAAGGCGTGTCCAATACATGGCCGTAAGACACTCTGTAATTTTACTGGGGGCGTGTCTGTTCTATTTCGGTATTTTGTTTTAGAAACTCTATCCAGTTTCCATATTAGGTCTCCCCATATAGCAAAGCAACTGGTTTTATTTATGGCTTTCACAACTGTTTGGAGAACACAGACTATGTTGAGGCAGATATCAATTTCTTGCAGGATTTATTTGAAATTGTTTTGTGAACTCTCCCAAATGAAATGAAAACGTCGAAACTGCTCAACCATTTATGAGGTTAGAACAGATATACTCGTGTTTCATAGAATCTGAGGTTGTACTTTGTTACAAATTATTTTAAAGACAGTTTGATTGATCACAGATCTAATGAGTAAGGCAGGAAATGATATCAAGTTTAAGGACATTTCCGTCCTAGAAAGAACCAACGCCACAGCTAGTGCCTGATATGTATTCTTATTTAAGATCAGGATTGTAATCCACCCCTGAAATTTCATAATGAATTATTCCAACATTTGAATAGGA